CCTAACCCACTACACCACTACCACCTCCACTTCACCTACTCCTTACCTACTACAAAACACTCACCCTCTTCTATATATAGGAATCATGAATCATTGTAATAGATATCAATAAACATCATCAATAATAACATAAATTTTTTACAGCTTCCTTATGGAAGGTAAGTTGCAAAAAAAAAGGTTGCATGCCAAATCCCGAGAGCATAACACATCGCCATAGGCGCTCCACAAGCAGATCAACGATGCTGCTGCTTAGCGCATAGCAGTGCTTGATGTTCAACCCCACAAGAGTCTGACCCAACTGTACCAAATAAGGCAAGCTCTTGGCCGATATGAAAGAACAACGGACAGAGAAAGGATCTGCAAATAGAGCTGGTCTACACTGTAACAATGATCTCAGACACCATTGATGAGAACTCCCAGAAGAATGATGAGAAAAAGTTGTTCATGTGTGCATGGTCACGGTTTGGAGGCTGTATGGTAGCTCAGTCCCGGAGTTGCAGCAGTGGTGTCTGCCGGTTTGTGGAGGTGCAGCAGTAGGGAAAGTGAATGTATGTGTGTAGAAAAAACTCCAGCGGGCAGCGAAGGCAAGGTTGCCGGCCGGCTGCCCGCCGGAAAGAAAGAGTATAGGCCTAAATCTTATAGCTCTGATACCATGTAGAAATTTAATGTATAAAGAGAAATAGAGAATTGTATTATTGATTGATATAATGTTATATCTATTACAATGATTCATGATTCCTATATATAGAAGAGGGTGAGTGTGTAGTAGTTAAGGAGTAGGTGAAGTGGAGGTGGTAGTGGTGTAGTGGGTTAGGTTTTAGTGGAGTAGGTGAGGTGGTAGTGGTGTAGTGGGTTAGGTTTAGTGGAGTAGGTTTAAGTGGTGAAGAGGTGGAGAGTAGGTGGATTTTAACATTATATATATTATATATATAATATCTATTATAATAATATATAATATACAATATACTTGTAATATATAATATATAAAATATAAAATATAATTGATTATATATATAATATTATACAATACCTATTATATAATATATGATATACTTATAGATAATATGTAAAATAAAATACATTAATTATTTAAAAATAAACACATGTATATAAATAAAATAAAATAATTAATTAAAACACATTATTTAAAAAATATAATAAATAAATAAAATAATATATATATATTAAAAAATTAATAATGTACATATTAAATATTTGTTATAGAAAATTGTGCTTTATTAATATTTTGCTTAACTTCTATAACTTGCGCCTCGCTTTGGTGAGGCGCGCGCGCCTCGCCTCGCGCCTCGGGGCTTAGGCTCCAGGTGACCTTGACGCCTCGATGCGCCTAGGGCTTTTTAAAACACTGCGTATTATTTATCTATATTTTTTAGTTTTTAAATCTATCTCTAAAAATAATAAATAGAAAATATGATATATTCTGGTTGGTTTTTGTTTTCAAAAACAGATATAGATGTAACAATACAGAGACATACAATATGTACTACTGCTTTGTTTATGGTTTTGGTGGTTTGAATTGTTTTTATATTTTAAGAATCACAGATTGTAATACTTTATGTGGATAATGCATGCTGTAATTGGGATATTCTAAAGTTTCAAACTTTCTTGCTTTGGATGAGGCATGCAATGATTGTAATATTTTTTTAAGTCATTGATTGTAATACTTTTTTTTTTTTTTTTTCATTGAATGGAAATGGGTTATGAATTGGTTTATGGAAATTGAACATTTATCAATTGCTAATGTCTTAGTCATTGCTCATACTGTGTTTAGCATATCTGTACTCTATAGCTCATAATCCAGTTCTACATGATCGCACAAAACATATAGAAGTGGATAAACATTTTATCAAGGAGAAAATCAATGCTGGCATAATCTGTATGACCTACCTTCCAACAGGTGAACAATTAGCTGATGTGCTAACGAAGGGACTACACAAGAAGCAATTTGATAAGCTGACTAGCAAGCTGGCTATGGAAGATATCTTCAAACCAGCTTGAGGGGGAGTGTTGGAAATTTGTGTTAATGTATATAATAAGATGGTGGCATGTATATAATATGATAGTGGTGTTGGTGAAGGATAGTGGCATGTATAGAATATGATTGTGGTGTTGGTGGTAGATAGTGGCATGTATATAATATGATAGTGGTGTTGGTGAAGGATAGTGGCATGTATAGAATATGATTGTGGTGTTGGTGGTAGATAGTGGCATGTATATAGTATGATAGTGGTAGATAGTGGTAATATATAATATGTAAGTGGCATATAATGGGTTATAATGATGTTTGTAATATCTCCTATATAAGGAGTGTCATTTGGTCTTGTAAAATAAGAAGTTTTGAATATAACAGAAATATATTCCTTCTTCCTCATATTTTCGGAGTTCTTCTTCCTCATATTTTCTAAGTGGATGCAACTAAGTTCAAAACCACAAGAGGGTTCCTCTTCTATTTTTAAATGTGAGGTCATTAAGTGCTCCTGAATCATACCACACAAAGGGGGTAAAACAAAGTTTGCCCAAAATATAAAATAATAGTTTATGTAGACCAGAATTTGATTGTGTACGAGCTCAATTAACATTAAACTTTCTCCAAAACAATTAGGGAAGAAAATAGAGAGCAAGCAATACAACACTACCACTCAGCAATAATGGTCTTGTTAAATTCAAAATAATTAGCTGTACCTCAGCTTGCTGAGACAAGAGTATCATTAATGCCATATTTGATTTAGTATTAAAAAAAACAAAGACAAAAATGAAGCTTATAACTTTAACCCATTGGATGTTGTAAGGTCAACAAAACCAAACCACACTAGGGAAACAAAACACGAAGCAACACAACTTCCTCTCTATAACACATTGTGATTGTTATGACTTGCTGGAAGACTGGAATTTCTATTTCAATACATATTCCTATTCTAATTCTTGTTTCACTTCTTTGGTTGTCTACTAGATGTATCGATGTACATAAATCATACAACATTCTCTAAAAGCCATAAGCAATATCTGAATGTCCAACCCAATTGGTATTCTGGAGCAAATCTCGGTAGATTACAAATTAGCCTCTTATAACCATATTGATGTTCATGTCAACTTGGTTATTCATTTAACTGAAAGGATCACAGCAAACAATGAGATAACTGGAGAAATACAGCAATTAAACAATAAATCATGTTCCAGGTTTGAGTAACTTTGCTATGCAAGTGGCATGAATAAATACAAGAATAGTTCACCAAGGTTTACCTAGATAAAATACACAAATTTTCTTTCTTTAAAAAAATAAAAAATTCATAAGTCCACAATAATATCCAACAACAATGAAAGAGAAACTGATAGCAAAAGAATGTTGAACGTACATGATTTTCACGTAGACGACTCATAAGAGAATCCAAGAATTTGATGATGCTATCCCATTGACTACTTGGTGACTGTTGAGGAACACCACCAGGTGATCTAGATGACTTTCCACCATGCATGCGTTGGATTTTAGGTGCCTTTACAGATGAAAAATATATGAATTAAATAAATAAAATACACCATCAAGCAGTTGCCTAATTAAGCATTGCAAAGGTTGAAATTTTTTAAGTTGAAAAGAGGGTATTTCATTCAAAATTTTCAGAAAACAAATATTATATAGATATATAGACAGATAAAATATACTGGCAGTTACCTTAATTCATCAAGCAATTTTAAATCTCTATAATTCACTAAATTAGTGTACTATCAGATGGCTCATAATTGCATTTCATAGCTTTTGACCATGTAGTTGAACCATAAAGAAAAGATTTCAATGTATATGAACTCAAGAACTCGTTAATTTAATTGATTCCTTTCAATAATAAACTAAATAAGTTAAGTGATTTGATTTGATAGAAGAAAGTACATGAAGGATGGTGTTCACTAAGTTATAGTCAGACAGATTCAACGCATGGAAATTCATAAATCCTGAACCACAAATAATTGCTAATGCATTGCTTGAGCATGGCAGTATTTTCCGGAATCATGTGTTTAGTTGCTGTTGCTGTTCTCACAAGGGTGCTCCTCATTTATCCAGTGAACTTCTATTATGTATTTTTTTAACTCAAAATCTACAAAATAAGGATGTACATACCTACCAATCCTTTTTGTTATATGGAAAAATACACAACCCTTCATAGATAATGTGGAGAAGAAAAAACCTATGGGCAGAAATAAAAGAATCTTGGTTCTATATTAAATCCCTAAAAAACTCCCAGGGTTTCTCCAACCCCATCACACAGATAATGTATATAGCTACCTATTTAATCAAAACTCCCAAATCATAGATGGAAGCCAAGAGTTTTTCTTATGGGTTTATATAACAGCATGTTTAAGATTGTGTCTTGAATCAGGTACCAAACAAGTACTAACAAGACCATATCACTTTATTTCTTCCCATGTCGCTAAAAGAGAGCCTCCATTTTGGTGAACGTGTACGTGTGTGTGTGTGTGTGTGTGTGTGTGAGAGTGAGAGAGAGAGAGAGAGGAGAATGCGTCCTTTGAATACATCAACTAATGTATTCTTATTGCAGGACTTCTTCGCAACTCATACCTAATGCTAGGTCTCATTTCCTTACGTCAACATCAACGAATGGAATTTGAACCCACCATTGGAGGTAAAAATTTACTAGAAAAAGTGAATTAACACACATGCTACTATCACATTCTTCTAGGTGAAAAGTGTCTTAAAAGTATCTTCTTGAGTATCTCATTTTGTTCATACTACTTATCAGCTTCAAACAAAATGCAACAAAATAAGAGCTGATACCATTATGATAAAAAATAATAATAATAACAGTTTTATTGACAATTAATTATGTTGAAGCCACAAGATTCCAAATTACAGGAACTCTAACATGTTAAATTCAAGATTTAGAAATGAACAATGCCAATGAACACCGTGAAAAAAGTGCAGAATAGGATAGACATGAAAACTCATAAAAGATAATGCTGGATAATCAAGAAATAGTTTACTGAACAAGTGACTCTTCTGACTTATAAGCAGAATAGGATAGACATGAAAACTCATAAGCAAGTGACTCTTCTGACTTATCCATGCAGGAAAAATAACAAAAACAGCAAAACTTATACTACCAACAATTACATCACACAATAACTTTGTGTCATGGTCATATCATTAAATAGTAATGTAGCAGGACAATGTCATGCTCAATTTACCAACTTACTGAAATAGTTTAGCATTTATGAAACTCTGCATAATATTTGTAACCACATGACGAGACCTAATCTTTGATTCAAACAGCAACAAATAAAAGCAAGAATCAAGGAGAATACAACAGTACCTAACATCATTAAAAGATGAAGATACAAACAGAAAAATATAAAACATTGAAAAATGCATTAAGTTAACCAGAAACAAATCATTCACCTGAATGCACAAACCCAAGAGGGGTGATATTTCTTTCTTCAGATTGTCTCGAATCAAACCGAAAATCTTCTCCACGCAAGCAGTTAATTGTTGTTTAAAAAGTATGGCAGGGTATCTTGCTTCCACATGTGAAATACCATCCTCAAATCCAATGTATTTAAAAGGAGATTTTAGGCTCTGAGAAGTGAAACAGAGATCAACTAAATCTCAATCTCATGAAATAACTAATAACTAAGAATATGGTAACAGCAAAAGCATGAAGGACCATTACAAAATAATTAATATAAGCAAAAAGACAAACTTTAGAAATGCTAAGTGTGATACTTTTATTCAACAAACTACAATCGAATCTAAAATTTCTTCTTCACATTTTATTTTTCAATTTAACACATTAATAAGATTGAAAAATGAACAAAGCAGAACTAAGAAACGCCAATCAATCAATTGGTGAAACTAGAGAAAGATAACGGATAAGGTAGAGAATTGCATTTTGTAAATAGCATGTGATATAACAAGCGAAAGCACAAGACATGGGTAAAACACAATATGGACAAGAAAACAAGAATATTAAAAAAACAGACAAAAATGTCACGACAACAAATAAATAAATGTTTTTATATATGCATGAAACTAACAACAATTTATTTTTTACGTCACAAAGACATTTGTATTTCAAAGATGAAATCAGGTAAGACTGCCCCAAAATATTAATCTTTTTTGAATGCACCAATTACATGTCCCCTTAAAAAGTGGGAACTCCCAAAAGCACTAACATTGTGGAGCCTTTTTCCCAAAAGGAGTAACAGAGTACTAACCTTTTTCACGAGGGAAAAAGAAAACGAAGAAGTAAATAAACATGCCGAATCTATTTTGCTAGATCCTGTGTTACATGGACTCTAGTTTGAGTATCCGGTGCACGTGCGTATCAAAGCATGAAACCTTCTTAAACCTAAATCTTAGGATATTGGAATATATATCCAAAAGTTGAGTACAGGTATGTGAACATGTTTAAAACACTTACATATATTACATAATGTCTACTATTGTTAGATAAGATGATATAAGTTATTTAGAAATGTACTTGAAATCAAATATGATTTACAGATAAGATGGAATCTCTCTCCCATCCATGTGCGAGGCAAGAAATATTCTTTATTAGTAAATCTGAACTTCTTTCTTCTTTAATCATCATATAAAATTAGAAGATCCAAGTGTCTAAATTGGGTACGGGTGTAGGACACATCCCAAACCCTTACTCTCGTTATATTAGGTGGACACAAGTACCAAGGGAGGAAATAGAAGAGTCCATGTAGCACTCTTAAATCATTAATAATTAAGAACTACAAGATGGAAAAGTTCTTAAAATAGGAGAAATTTTCTTTCACTCTTAGTGAAATGGGTTTGTCCACTATTTGAAGAACTCCCCTTGAATCTTTTGATGCAAGTAGATTTCTTTAGTTAAAATTGAAGAATACATCATATAACTGCGAAGCGAAGTCCAACATTGCCCAAGTACTAAAATAATGTCAAGCATATAAGTGTGAGGGCGCCCTCACCTCTTGACCTAGCTTTTGGGGTTGAGTTATACCCAAGACCGTGTAAATGTTACATGGACTCTGCTATTTCCCCCATAGTATCCGTGTCCACTAGATGTGACATGGGTAAGGGTGTGAGATATGTGTTCGACACTAGTACCCAATTTAGACACTTGGATCCATTAATTTGTTACAATATATGAAAAAAAAGAAACTCATATTTGCTTAGTAAAGCAATATTTTTAGCCCCCCACAGGAATTAGATATAAAAAGTTCATATTTTTCCTAAATCCTATTTAATTTCTAGTATATTTCTATATAATTTACACCATCTCATTCAAGAATATTATATAATATGTAATATATAAGAGTATATATATGATGCATCCCCATACCCATATCTAATTTTGGATACGTATCCCAAGATTCTAAGATTTAAATTTATGAAGGTTTGATGCTCAGATATACACCAGCACCCAAGTCCATGTAACATGGTATCAAAACCGAAGTACTTAGGGAAGGGTAGCGTGTGTGTCCCTGACCTGCATGCCGCAGTTGTTGCCGAGTAAGCATGCTAGGCGTGAGGGAGGGTGTGAAGCGAAGTCCCACATTGCCCTAGTACTAAAATAATGTCAAGCATATCAGTGTGAGGGCACCCTCACCTCTTGAGCTAGCTTTTGGGGTTGAGTTCTACCCAAGACCGTGTTACAATAACATCGAAGTTAGTTAACCTAAAACGCACTAAAGACTAATTATTAGAGTAACAAAGATTTAAATACATCTATTGTACAACTATATGACTCACTTGTGCAACCCGTCCATTCAGCCCAGAAGAGCCAGCAGAACGTTGAGAAGTAGCTGTCAGAAACCCATTGGAGCGTAAATTCCTCTGCAGGAGGCACAAAAGTGCTGAGGCATTAGACAACCAGTATGGCAAGGTAACATTCTCATCTCCCACCTGAAACGATGTTATAGCATATCATTAAATCTAACAACAATTCCACAATCTACTCCAATACTTCAAAAAAAAAAAAAAATTCTTAACCCCAAAGGCAATGTAGGCGAAGAAACATGAATCAAGACCCCCCCCCCAAAACTCCCAAAAAAAAAAAAAAATCAAATGTCTATAAATTTTTTAAGGAATGGAAAGGGTGAATCACCTTCAAAACTTCATTAATGCCCTCAATAATGTAGTCAAAAATTGCCGTCCTCTCAGACTCAAAGGCATGCCAATGAACAAGGCATTTGTATATGACACAAGCAGCCACTGGTTTACTATCTTTAAAACCCAAATCCTCTTTAATACAGCTTGAGAGAAATTCATAATTCTCCTGTATAACAATATTACTTTTAAAACCCTATTTAGTGCTGTAGAGAACTCATCAAGTAATTTACTCTGAGCAAGCAAAGTGAGTCAGAAATAAGAAACTGTAACATTATAAACAATAGGAGAAGAAAACCTGGTGTCTTTCAGTGGTTAACTTTGTCCTGCGAGAATCAGATAAACCTTGTGAAAGGGGTGCTATAAGTTTTGTGGGTGTAGGGGATTCCTGCATCAAAGGTAATATATGAGAACAACAACGCAAAATTAGATTTCCTAGTTATGCAAAACCATATGACTGATAGGGACAAATCTTACAAATACAGGCTTCCGATCAGCATAGGGAAGAGCAAGTGCAGCAGAGTACTTCTGTTTCATCAGCAAAGAGGAACTGATCACAAAACCATAGTTCCCACTTTCCAAGTACAAAGTCAACTAAACCATCCTATACAGACTAGAGCTGGAATTTTCTTTCTTTTTCTTCTCATTTGTCCTCTTTTTTTTTTTCTTTTCTTTCATATTCTTACTGAAGGGATAGCTGAATATGCATCAAATTATAAAACCATTTGCTATAGGTCATAACATTACAAAAATTAAAAAGGTGGGAAAATCTACACATCTAGAATTTTCTTTCTATTTTCCTGCTTTTTCTTCTCATTTGTCCTCTCTTTTTTTCCTTTTCTTTTCATATTCTTATTGAAGGGATAGCTGAACATGCATCAAATTGTAAACCATTTGCTATAGGTCATAACACTAAAAAAAGGTTAAAAGGGAGCAAAATTTGCATAGACACGCCGACACCGATGCACATACGTGGTTGCACAAACATACTACATATGCTATATGCATGTGCACATGAATGTTGATGTAAAGTAATGACTGAATCAAATCTTACCTCCAAAAATGGCTTGACAAAACCAGGACGGCTGCCCTTCGGAGAACTCAACGCTTTTTGACGCAGTACATGATTCTCATCCTCTAAATTGCAGAGCTTTTCCTCCAAACTTGTATTCACAAAACATCTCTTTCAAATCAGGAAGAGATCAAAATGAGGCATAACAATTTAAAAACATATTTGAGAAGAAAAAGGAATGCAAAGCAGCTTTTTGGCAAGCAAGATGATAGAGACATGAGCATAGTAGTCAAGTAGTTATAGAACACCTTTGCAAATTCTGTTGCAGCTGTGAACATGTTTTATCAACTTCCCTCAACTTTTTCATGGTATCATTAGTATCATCTTTAGCCTTGATAAGCTCCTGCTCAAGCACTGAATTCTTCTTTTCCAGGGTATTTATAGAACTCTGTAAAGAAACCAAAGAATCAATTTCCAGCAGTCAATTTGCAGTAATTTTAACACAAAAAGAGTGCAAAATAGAAGTTTGTATAACAACTTTTGGAGAGGCCACCTTCCAAGAATGCATTTATAAGATACTAAAATAACAAGATCAGCTGTCATTCTTTCTCTTTACCTTGTTTCCTTTCCAAGTTCACATGATAAGGAAAGATGTTATAGAAAGGCAAAAAGCCCAGGAATTAATCCACGTGTTTGATGGATAAATAATCAAACCATATGATGGAATAAATAACACCAACAGGGTGGAAGTATAATGAGAGGTGAAGTATACCATGGTAAGAATGGACGGTCCAAAAAGATTATTAGCTTCAAGTAAAAGACAGGTGACAGGGTTGCCTGGATTTACAAGAATATGGATGCTCATCAAGTATGCCCAAATGATTAACTCATGCCACTGGTGGGGTCCAATACACAACGTATGGATATTTGAAGCCTAACAAAGTTAATTGCAGCCATTTGGGTTTATAGGAAATATGCCATATATGCTCTAGACGACACAATAAGGTTTATCAATTGGTTAATCATCAAGAACACAATTAACAAATATACATGCAATACAAGGAAATACAGAGTGCAGTGCCAAATCACCTTTAACAGTGCATTTTCATTTTTTAGTTCAGCCAGTGCAACGATTTCTCTTTCCAAAGCAGATTTCTCCTTCACAAACAACTCTAATTGATTTTGCAGCACCGCATTCTTGTTGCACTCGTTAACTGTGGCCAATTTAGCTGCAGCTAACTCAAGGCTCAAAGATTCCACTGACTTCTGAAGTTTTGTAATTCCCATTACTTTACCCTCTTCATTTGACACCTGCATCCCAGTATGTTACCATTACAGAATGAACTCACATGTAACCACTCAAATGTAACAACGAAACGGCTAATTTGCAATCAATGGTTGCAACAACTTGAATGGCAGATACACAATACTCAAGAAACAATAGAAGTAAACAAGAATAACAATTTAAATACCCGTAATTTCTTTTCAAGCTGCAACCGCCATGTGAGATCTTCTAACTGCTTCTCAAGTTTGTTCTTTGCCAAGCGTAAGGCACCTGCCTCATTAGCCTCCTGTACAAGATATACATGCACAAAAAGGTGATAGTTCAACCTGGTAGAAAACAATTGACACCACAGAAAAGTATGCAGACATTTCCTGGACTAATTATATATAAATATGTGATAAACCACTCAATACGGATCACTTGAAAAGTACCAGTTATGTACAGTCCAAAAAATTATCCCATTTCTTATGCTCTAAAGAATAATCAGCAGCACAGCTAAACTGATACCCCTACAAAGTAACTTAAGAGTGGTGTAATAGTGGAAACCATCCATCACTGACTTTCTGGGCAATTAACGATTGATAGACTGTACTTCCTAAAGGAAAACTAATACATCATAGACTACAGGGTATGCATACATAAAATAAAAGGAAAACAAATAATTGACGTACAAATAAAACTAATACATCAACTTAATATAATTGACGTACAAATAAGACTACAATGAATTGGAAGTAAAAACCATTCTACAACGGTTAATAAAGTTAACCTGTTTAAGCCTCCGGAGCTCTCTCTTTGCCAATTTTTGCCTCCAACGACATTGTATTGCTACAATATTTGTTTGACGATGACGGAAAGTAGAACGAACCTTGCACATTCTCCATTGAGCCTATGGATTGTTACATACTTAAATGTCAGGAAAGGATGAAAAATAGAGAGTTGTCAAATACAACAGGCAAAATGCAACTTCCATGGCAATGGAAAAGAAAGCAAAAGTTATCTTACAAAAGAAAATCAAAAGTTGATGTTCTCAGTTATAAATTGGTTTTTTTCATAAATCCAATACCATTTACAAACTAGGATGCAGAATGCATTGTTAAAAAAAAAAAAAAAAAAAAAACCGATATTCAAGAACCATAGTACTAATTCGAAATATAGTCAATCACAAATATGGAACTCAAAAACCCTTTTCTAAGTCCAACAACAAATTCTTAAAATTTCTGACATAGTGTTTGTCCAGACATTACAAGCATTTTTTTAAATTTCTGACATAGCGGTTTTCTTTATGTGGACTTTGGCTTTGGGGAGGAATCTCACATTGGACAATCTGATTAGGCGTGGGCATGTGTTAGTGAGTCGGTGTTGTATGTGTTGTGCTAATACGGAGTCGGTGGATCATTTGTTTCAGCCCCAAGGGGTGTTGGATATGCTTTGGGCTTGGCAAGGTGCTCGGATTGGACGTCAAAGGCGCCGGGTGTGGCTGTTCGCGCTGTTTTGCTTGATTGGCTTGTATGGTTGGAGTGAAATAGACGAACCTTTCAAGAGGTTCATCATGGTGTTCTTTGGTTAGAGAATCGGCTTCTTGTAGTTTTGTATAATTGGTTGGAGAGATCAGTTGATCCAGATTTGTTAGTTTTTTTAGATTTTCTAGATGATATAATTGGGTAGTGCTTGGTTAGGGTTTTCCAATTTGGGGCGCTGTGTTGTATTCATTGCATCATCTTGATGCCTTTTCTAATAAATGCTTTATTTATCAAAAAATAAAATTCTGACATAGTGTTTGTTCATCATTCCTTATATTATCGTATACCTTGGCCACATTGCATGCAAATTCAAGATATGAAAACTGGTACTTGTTCACCAATTTATATAATAAACAAATAAATAAATATAGATTAATTTTTTTCACAAATATTCTTGGTTATGATGCTTTATTTTTAGATGCTTTAAGAATAACAATCTGATAATGCTTTCCATTACAGGACATATAGCGAACTTTTTATCCTAAATTTTTTTGTCCACCCCCTTTCAACCCTCATATAGATTATCTTCAACTTTGTGTAGTAGGAGAGGTCTAAGATTTTTTTTTATTAGCTAAGGTCCATCAACATTTGACTTAGAAAAATTTTGCCCGACTCAAAGAAATTTTGCCCCAACTCCGAGAAATTTTGAAATTTCTCTAATATGATCACAGAGAAATATCAAAATTTCTCCAAGTCAGGCAAAATTTCTCTAAATAGAATTTTCTCTGTAAAAATGTTGAGGGCTAGGAAGCACGGATACGGATACGGGATATGGATACGGATACGATACGATACGGCGATACGACAAAATTTGAAAAACTAGGTGTTAGAATTTCCCATCTTTACCTTCACCTACTCCACTACACACTCCACTTCACCTACCTCCACTTCACCACACACTCCACTTCACCTAACCCACTATCTTAAAGCAAAAGACAACTTGATAAAGAAGAAAGATTCCTACAAAACTAAGAGTCTTCAAGGTCAATAGTTTCAACTTGTTTCCCTTCATTAGTAAATATCACAAGACCTTAGCTAAAACCAAAGCCAAAGCCAAAAAACCATTCTTAAATAAAAATTTCAGCAAATATACTTTTTTAAGTCATCAATGATAGCCTAGGAAGCACGGATACGAATATGGTGATATGGGGATGTGGATATGGCGATATGTCAAAATTTGAAAAAGTATGATACGGGTACAGCGGGGATACATTCATAATTTTTAGTTGAATTTGAGAGTGAATTCATGCATGCATGTCTATACCATAGCATTTTGAGGTTGTTCTTCATGAATTTCCGCATGCATGTCCATGTTTTTGTTATGGTCCATGAATTTACCATGTTCTTGAGCTTAATCTTGCATTTGGTCAAGTATTAGAGCACTTAATTCATAAGAGTTCTTGCATGTTATGTTTTTACATAGTTCATGAGAGTTTCTTTGAAATTGGTGTTCAATTGGTTTACCTTTGGGCTTGATTTTACAAAATTGATCTTTGAAACATGTTGGGCTCGTTTGGTTTGATTTTCTGAAAAAAATTTGGGAAATTTTCTCTACAAATAAGTTTTCAAAAATAACCAAACCAAACAAATTTTCCCAAAAAAATTTCTCAAAACTTGTAAACCAAACAAGTTTTCCAAACAAATCTCTCTCTCACACACATCAAATCAATCACTTTTTCTAAAACTCTATCTCAAAATAATTTTTCAAAACATCTTTTAAAAAAAACCAAACCAAACATGTTTTCGTACTTTTTATCTCTAAAACACATCTCTCAAACACAAACCAAACATACCCTAATAATCTGACAATTAAAAAGACCAAGTTACTTTATCAACAAAAATATTAAAAATTTTAAAAATTCTATTACATGAAAGTAGAACCTACATAAAACTCACATTATATAAAGAAAAATATTTGGTGATCCAAATTTGTATGACTTAAATAGTTTAAATGTATCAAAACGACGTTATTTTATCTTAAATCAAAATTATTTTGACAAATTTAAACTATTTAAGCCATAAATATTCGGATCACCGAACATTAGTGTTATATAAATTCCACGCTTAGAGCTCTAATTAAAACCAGAGCCATCTTTTATACGCCAAGTCACATTGCCAAGTCACATTATTGTCATTCATAAAATACCTTCATTGTTCATTCAAAGGAACGGCCTGTCTCTCTCTCCCTCGATCAGTCATCAGCCCTCTTTCCGTTCCTTCACCTGAAACACGCCCCTCCCCAACTCTTCTTTGTCTCTCGACAACTACTCTCTGTATCTATCCCTTTCTCACTCTTTACATGCAACCATCACGATGGGCCTCTGTTTCTCTCTGTCTCTCTCACCCTCGATCAGTCATCAGCCCTCTTTCCGTTCCTTCACCTGAAACACGCCCCTCCCCAACTCTTCTTTGTCTCTCGACAACTACTCTCTGTATCTATCCCTTTCTCACTCTTTACATGCAACCATCACGATGGGCCTCTGTTTCTCTCGCAAAGCTGTGAAGAAGAAGAAGCCCTCCAAGCGCATATCCAACCAGTCATCAGTTTCTGCTGCTGGTGGTTCGAGCAATCGGTGGACTCGAATTCGATCGTCGAGGAAGGAGAAATTCGACGACTCTACAATTCACCAGCAGGCTCTCGCGGCGGCGATTCTGTTTCAGCAACACCAGCACCAGTTGCAGAACGGCGGTGGCGGCTCTGTGACGTTTGATCGTTCGACTTCTTTGCGTTACCCGACCGCCAACTCTAAGAAGCAGCAGGCGTTGCCTCGGAGTTCGAGTTCTAGGGCTCGGTCGCTCACTGATCCTCTGCTTCAGCCTCACCAGCTTGTCAATCAGGAAGTAAAGCATGACGAGCTAGAGACCAACCATTTCGTCCTTGTCCATGGAGGTGGTTTTGGTGCTTGGTGTTGGTACAAAACTATAGCACTTTTAGAAGAAGGTGGATTCAGAGTAACTGCCATAGATTTAACTGGTTCTGGAATTCATTCATTTGATACAAACAGCATCAATGTCAAAGCATCCAGTGATCTGAGGAACACCCCTGGGGGCAGGAGGAATGCCAGACATCTCTCTCTCTCTTTGAGGGGCCACCCAGTCAAAAGGCTTCCTCCTTTATTTTATTCATCACCATATGCTCCACTCACCAACTTTTTTTTTTACTTTTCTTCTTTTATTTCTTTATTTTTTTCTTTACATCACTTGACACCCCACTCGTTGTCAGACCATGCCACCAACTTAACAAAGAAATCATTCAAAGCAATCCCAGCCTTGGAATCAAAGATGCTCGACCTGCTGTCGCCCACAAAGTCAGTGGATACCACTAAAATATCTTATCCTCGCCTTTATTGATTCCACTATTTCCCCCACTTCATTTTATTTATTATTATTCTTATTATTATTTTATTAAAAAAAAAAAAAAAAAAAATCATTTCAGTTTAATTTTTCTGCTCCGTCTTGTCCCTTCACGCCATTCGGATTTGCACAATACACTCATGTTATTCATATCGGGATCAATCCCGATCCACATTTTACAAAAAAAAAAAAAAAAACAACAGCTTTGTTTTCTTTTCTGCAGACGGCCACCCACCGACCTACTCTGCCGCCGATCTCTTCTTCTTGCCTCCGTCCTGAACGGGCCTTGACAGTGTTGCCTCCGTGTTTTCCACGCCGCCGAGCACGTTCACTCCCCCATACTCCTCCACTTGGCCGTAGAGTTAGAGACATCTATGTGGTGGAGAGCTTGCATCTGCCTATGACAACTTCTCAAATTGCTTTTTCATCTTTTCAGTTAGATTCTTTGTCCACTCCTTTCTACATATGGCATTCTAGATTAGGGTATTTGTCTGCTAACCGCTTACGGTCTTTAGCTCAGTAAGGTATATTGGGTAAAGTTCCTAGCTGGGAGTTTAACTGTTGCACCTCATTTGTCCTGCTCTGCAGCCGGTGCGACAAGTTTGTGACCGCAGTCATGGTTTCCACACATGACTTCAGAGTATACTGATTGGCCTCAATATCAGTTTGCACCGCCATTTTTTGCTCCACCGACCGCATCGGAAAGTTCAACGGAGCAAACTCCGGGGTGTTTGGTTGAGGTTCACTGGCCACCGTACCAGTTATTTCTCTTGTGGGCTCGTTCAGTTCTGGAAAGAGCGTGAGCAGGTTCTGGGTAGCTGGACGGGAAGAAGAGGCCATGTTTTTGGGTTGCTAAGTGTTTCAGCGAAATAGCAATTTCAGACTGGTAATGTTCGGAAGGGTTGGATTTTTCTGGGCTACAAAGTGTTCCACAGTTTCTCTCTCCGAAGGGCAGAGTTTTTCAGAGAAGGGTTGGTTTCAGAGGTTTCAGAATGGTATGCCTCAGCCTCAGCCTTCGTCTTGGTTTAAATAGCCAAGGCCAATCAGCGCATCGCGCGCCTCTTGCCGACAGACGACAAACGGGCGCGCCAACCAAGGCACCCACGTGCCTCGCCATCATGTCCGGCACGCCTTTTGATGGCACGCCTTTTGATGGCACACTTTTTTATGGATTGGGCACGCCTTTTGAGGGTGCCACTTTTTCAACGGTCCGACATGACCCTATAAACTGTCCCGACATTTGATTCCGGTTAGCCTTTTCCAACGGTCCGACATGACCCCATAAACTGTCCCGACATTTGATTCCGGTTAGCTTTTTCAACGGTCCGACATGACCCCCCGACATTAATTTCGGTTAGCTCCTTTGTGGGTCCGGCAAGACTCTGTAAACTGTCCCGACATTGATTCCGGTTAGTTTCTACAACGGTCCGACATGACCCCATAAACTGTCTTCTCCAAACGGTCCGACATGACCCCGTAAACTGTCCTGCTACATCGGTCCGACATGACCCCATAAACTGTCTTCACCAACGGTCCGACATGACCCCACCGGTTAGTTTCTACATTGTCTTCACCAACGGTCCGACATGACCCCATAAACTGTCTTCTACAACGGTCCGACATGACCCCATAAACTGTCTTCTACATCGGTCTGACACCACCATACAGTGTTCTCTACAACGTTATGACACCACCATTCAGTGTCTTCACCAATGGTCTGACACGACCATACAGTGTCTCCTATCCTTTTTTATTTTTATGTATTTTCTTGTTTTTGTTCCTCTCTTCAAACTCAAGTTGGTTAGTTTCTATCCTCCTTGAGTTTGCGGGGGGCTGTTAGAATATATCATCACCTACCACCTCCACTCAACTCACCTACCACACACACTCACCTACTCCCCAATCCTCTCCTATATAATTAGTACCTCACCATCTTGTAAAAAAATCAATACATCAATCTTGTATCTATCAATCAATAAATCAATAATACATAAATTCTTATACTGTTACTAAATTTACACTCCATGTATTCTGTCTTAGTTCTGCTTATCCGGAATCCTTTAGATTCAAGAGTTTTTCTCCAAATCTCTAACTTTGTGTTAACTCCTTCTCTAATCTCATCCACTAGCACAATATCGTCTGCAAAAAGCATGGATACGGATACGTCACCCTTTTTGAAGTATCCGTGCTTCATAGGTTGAGGGACTTTAACTATTATAAATATTGTATGTCCTTTATCTTATAAAATTTTAATATTAGGGACCTTAAAAAAAATTTCCCATTAAATAATTCATGAATTAGCTTTAAAAAATATTATTTTTGAAGAGTTTCGCTTTAAGAGGGTTCACAAATGTACTTTCCATGGGCATGCAATACCATATTATCTTGTAGGGTTTTGTAAAAGCAATAAAATATAAATTTTTGTTTAATTCAACCTTGATTACAGTACATGCAAAACACATACACTACAGATTTTTTCTCATGCAACAGTAAAGAGAGGCCCTACCACTAGAAACATCTGGCCAACCTTAATCAATTTTACCTGAATTAAAGTGGCAGCTCTATGTTCCTTTCTGTACAAGAATCTTTGCCGAGTTAAGAAACCACAGATGCTGGATTGTATGAGTACAGCAGAAGAGCAAAGTTGCATATAGGCACCCATGAAGAGCCATCTGCGAACATATTTCTGTATTAAAATAGCAGCTGCTACCTCCCGTATTACTGCATATGCATTTCGAGCAAGAATGCCTGCAAAATAAAAATATTTTTTTAAAAAAAAATTATCAGTGTCACAGTGCTGAATCTAAAGCAAAGCAAGACAATAACGCAGAAGAAGAACAAGTTAATGAACTGTTGCCTTAAGCTCACTAAAGTTCCAGTGATTAAATATCAGATAAGAAATAAATATGACTAAACAATCACTAATATATAATGCACAAGGAAATCAAGAATGAATACACCAAGTCAATTAAAACACAAATGGCTTAGTAAAAAAAAAACACAAATGGGAAAATAAATGAAAAAATGGTATCACGGTAACCAACTTTTGGTATGATGTCTGACAATGGGGTGCCTAAAGTGTTAATACATAGTGACTGAGGTGGTGGCTGTGGATATTGTAGATGGCATATTGCTACAGATCATGGGAATTGTAGAGACACATTAGTTTTTCTTCTTCTCTGATTTTGAGATTATTAAGTGTGCGTGTTTATTTTTTATAATCTCATTTAAACCTATAATGGGTGGATGTCTGCATCCACTTAAGTTCCACTTAATAGTCACATATTTTGAATTGGCATTGAGGGCCTCAAAGAATGCCATCATTAGATTAATGGGTGTATTAAAATATATGGCATATCAGGCCAAAAGAAGCACCAAATTAAGTTTTTCAAACACAGAAATCAAACAATCAAAATGTTAGTAGGATACCGAGGAAAAAAATTATGTAGAAGAAATTTATTAGATGGCATAGAAATGGAAGTGAGCAAGGTAAAGTCCAGTAGAAGTTTCAATAAAAGAGAGGTCTTCTTGTAATTATAGAGTTAAACAACTTCAATAGGCCATCTTGTCTAATAAGGGAGGGGGAGGAGATATTCCCATTTCCAAGTGACTATTGAAATAATTCAAAAACAGAAAAATCCTTTTCTTGATGGCTTAACATTAGTTAAATCCACTAATGCCATCCTGTAAAGCAGTTGGCAGCATGGAGGATATTGAAGATTAACATGGGTGAAATAATTCAAAAACAGAAAAATCATTTTCTTGATGGCTTAACATTAGTTAAATCCACTAATACCATCCCATAAAGCAGTTGGCAGCACGGAGGATATTGAAGATTAACACTAGTGATGAACTACAGTTAACTATAATGTGGTGAAGATCAGGTAATATATTAATTTGCTGATTACAAGACTCGGAGGCTTCATAATTACCAACCAAATCAATTTTCCACCTCCATACAAACAGCAATTCATAGTATGTCGAACAAAATGGGCAAGTTAGGAATTCCACTTTGGACCTAAACCTACAAACTATCCAAACTATTAATCTAAGTAGCACAAACATGGACACAACACCGACACGTCAATTTTCAAATAATGCAGGACACAACACATTGCGGACACATTCAAGTTTTACATTTTTATAAATTATTATATGTCATATATATAAATAATTTATTCAAGGATAATAAAAAAATCTAACACAACATTCATGACACGCTTCCTTCGTAGAAGTGTCTGTGCTTCTTAGCCTAGTGGTGAGTGCATATGTTACAACATTCGAGATTATGCA